GGGTGTCGGGGCAGCCTAGTCTCCACACCCACTCCCCTCAGAGCCAGCTCCTGTTCACGACAGGACCCAGTACACACAGAGAAAACTCCAGAAGAGCCGCCTTCCCCGCCCCAGCTCCCAGTATAACCAGAAGCTCTTTGGGGGAGACATGGAGAAGTTTATCCAGGTACTTGCTTTGTGTCACCCGCCAACCAAGTGCGGGCCCCTCCCCGCTTCTGCTCTCCCTCCAGCCCCGGCCACTGGCCTCCTCCTGGGTGGGCCTTTGTCGGGCCTGCACTGATCGGAGGGCACGTCCCTAACTAGGAGCTGAAAGCCTCGGGTGGCAGTGATTTTAGGGCTGAGGAGTTGAGTTAACAGAAGCAAGGGTGTCCGCGGGCCCCACTTCTGGGGTACAAGAGAGGAAGTAAGGGAAGCAAGAAGGATCAGAAAAGAAGAAATCACACTGTTATTTGCAGGATGTGATTCTATATGTCACGGTTCAAAAGAATCAACAGATTATTTAAGTGAACAAATTTTGGGTTTCACGATGTTACTTGATTCGAGGTCGACATACGGAGTTCGATGGCATTTCCACATGCCAGCAATAAACAGCTAGCAGGTAAAACGTAAGGCATGGCCCGAGACGGCACCAGGGATGTCGGACACCTGGGCATGCATCTCGCAGGCCTTACTGCTGACCGCATAATGCATTAAGAGAAAATAAAAGCGAGCGAGTGACGAGGCAGGACGTGCTGTGTCCACAGTGGAGGGAACACCCTCTCTGTCCCTGTCCCCAGAGCTCGGGCCAGTCCGTGCCCCTGGTGGTGGAGAGCTGCATCCGCTTCATTAACCTCAACGGTGAGTAAGACCTGGGCCCTCCTGCCGCTGGCCTGGCACCCGATCCTGCGCCCACCGGCTCTCCGTCCTCCCGCAGGCCTGCAGCACGAGGGCATCTTCCGGGTGTCGGGCGCCCAGCCCCGGGTCTCGGAGATCCGTGACGCTTTTGAGAGAGGTGGGGACCGGCGGGGCCGGGGGTGAGGATGGGGGTGGGTGGAAGAGCCGGTGCCATCCGCCTTCTCGCCCCCTGCGCCACCGTGTCGCCCTCAGGAGAGGACCCACTGGTGGAGGGCTGCACCGCCCATGACCTGGACTCGGTGGCAGGTGTGCTGAAGCTCTACTTCCGGAGCCTGCAGCCTCCGATATTCCCCCCAGAGCTGTTCAGGGAGCTGCTGGCTTCTGTGGGTGAGGCGGGGGTCTGAGGCGGGCCCTGGGGGGGCCCCTCCCCGCTGGCCTCCACGGCTGCGCTCACGGCTTCTCTCCGGGGCACTGGCCTCGGCCGCAGAAACGGAGGCCGCGGCGGAGTGGGTGGAGCATGTGAGCCGCCTCCTGGCCCGGCTGCCCCCACCGGTGCTCGTGGTCCTGCGCTACCTCTTCGCCTTCCTCAACCAGTGAGTACCTCTCGGCGCGGGGGGAGGCGGGGGCGAGGGCGGCTCGGGGGTGGCCCTAGCCAGCTGCTAGCGGGGGTGAGGGGACACCGGGCCGAGAGCTCCCTGCCTGTGACCCACCTGTGCCCCCAGCCTGGCCCAGTACAGCGATGAAAACATGATGGATGCCTACAACCTGGCCGTGTGCTTCGGGCCGACGCTGCTGCCCGTACCCGCCGGGCAGGACCCGGTGGCCTTGCAGGGCCGGGTGAACCAGCTGGTGCAGACGGTCATTGTGCAGCCCTCGCGGGTCTTCCCGCCCCTGGCCCTGCTGCCCGGCCCTGTCTATGAGAAGTGCATGGCGCCACCTTCTGCCAGCTGCCTGGGGTAGGCTCTTCGCGCTGCCGGGAGGGAGGTCCGGCAGACGGGAGATCCCTCGTGCGCTCATCCGCCTTGCTCTGCTCTGCACTGCAGGGATGCCCAGCTGGAGGGCCCGGGTGGGGAGAACGAGCCGGAGCCGGAGGCTGGGAGCCTGGCCCCGGAGGACGGTGAGCGGGGCGGGAAAGGAGTGCCCCACCCTGTCCCCGCCCTGGATGCCCACTCCACCCCTCCCCCACACTGGGGTCCCCTCTTCTCCCTAGACCCAGAGGGGGCTGTGGAGGCCGTGGCCTGCTTTGCCTACACGGGCCGCACGGCCCAGGAGCTGACCTTCCAGCGGGGGGACGTGCTGCGGCTGCACGAGCGGGCCTCAGGCGACTGGTGGCGGGGCGAGCACGCCGGGGCCCGGGGACTCATCCCCCATAAGTACATCACGTTGCCGGCGGGGTGAGTGAGTGAAGTTGGGGCCCTTCCTGGGAGGCTCTCCTTTCACCCGGGCTCCTGGCCCTTCCCCCGCCCCGAGTCCCCGCTTCCGTAGGCCCGGGGTGGCCCAGAGTGCGCCTTTCTGACCACTTCTGGCCAGCGCTGAGCCCTCTGGCCCCCAGACCCCAAGCCCAGAATGAGCGTTCTAACAGGCGGTCTTGTCTCTCTGGTGCCAGGGCAGAGAAGCTTGCTGTGGGCCAGGGGCTGCCGGCCGCCGGGGAGCTGGTGAGCAGCCCAGAGGCCCTCCCGGCCATGGAGTTTGTCCAGAGGTGAGCAAGGGGAAGACCCCTTCCGGGGGCCCTGCCCGCCCACCCCAGGCTGGAGGAGGGTGGGGTCGGACCTCAGCCGCGGAGAGGGACCGGCCTCACTGTTCCCTTTCCCTTGGCCACACCCCGGGCTGGGAGAAGCCACTGCCAGGCAGCGCAGGGGCTCCCCAGGGCCCCCGCCAGGCCCACTGTCTATGCCCTGCAGGCCAGAGCCGTGCACCCAACCCGAGGCCCCTCTCGGCACACCCGGGGGCCCCTCTGGGCACAGATGGCGCTGCTTGGTCCCAGCATCCCCGGAGCGACATGTGGAGGTGGATAAGGTGAGAGCTGGGAATGGCTGTGTGGCAAGTGGGGGGCACCTCTCGGGGGTGGGTCTCTGCTTCCCCTTATGAACCGGACTCTTCCCTCCCAAGGTTCAAGTCTGACCTTCCTGACCTCAGACCAGCCGGTGGAGCCCAGCCTAGGGAGGGGCAGGCCGGCAAGGGTGTGAGTGCAGTGGGGAGGGACGGGCCTGGAGGCAGGGTAGAAGGGAAGGGAACCTGGGGCTCTCACATTTGGGCTTCATGTTCGGTTCCTGAGTGGGACGCGGTGAGTGGGACAGGCTTCAAGGCTGGCATCTAGAGCCAGGCTAGGTGAAAGGTGGTGACGTGGCCGGCGCTTGGCGAGCCAGGGAGGATGAAAGGGGCAGATGGAAAAGAGGCTGAGGGAGGTGGCTGACTGGGGAGCCAGGCGGGGTCGTACTTCTTGCAGGGGGAGAGAGCGGGTGCCGGATGCGGCCGGGGCCAGGGGTGCAGCCCGGGGACACCCGGCTCCCTGCTGTGTCCGCTGGGCCCAGCGCACCCCACTGTGGGCTCCCAGTGGGCACCGCCGGGCTGAGCCCCGGGAACCGTGTGAGCACTTATCACTACATCTGGGGTCTGCCCAGATAACCCAGGATCGTCTCCCCATCTCAAGATCCTGAACTTATATCTGCAAAGGCCCTATTTCCACACAGGGTCCCAGCCCAGTGCAGGCTGGGGGGGCGGGTAGGATGTGCACGTCTCTCCAGGGGCATTTCAGCCCCTCCTCCCTGGGCTGCAGGGGGCCGCTGGCCCTGGAGGTCCGGGCACGCTGGTGGCCCCCGAAGCCAGGGTGTGGTGGCTGTGATCTCAGCCAGGGAGAGAGTGGGAAGAGGAGGGGGACCCGGGGCCCAGCCAGAGGGGCTCCCATTTCAGGGCTGGACTGAGGATTGCTGTCCCCGGAGGAGACGGTGACCGCCACACCAAAAGTGGCAGGAGCGAAACCGGGCAAGCGAGGGGCGACAGCTGCGGGGCCCACGGAGGGGAGGGGCCTGGGGACAGGCGGTGGCCGAGGACTTTGTTTCAGGGGATGGAGGAGTTTGGGCAGAGGCTTGGGCAGCGGAGGGCAGGAGGGCCTCGCTCCTGGGTCAGCTGGCACCACTGACCTGGGGGTGGGGGACTGGCTGGCCAGGTGGAGGCCGCTCACACCGACGCCCTGCCTTTCTCTCCTCCCCGCCAGGCCGTGGCGCAGACCATGGACTCTGTGTTTAAGGAGCTCTTGGGGAAGACCGCCGTCCGTCAGGGCCTCGGGCCGGCGTCCACCATCTCCCCTGGCCCTGGGCCCCGCAGCCCGAAGACCGTGGCCTGCGGCCGCCTCGGCAAGAACAAAGGCTTCTCCCGTGGCCCTGGGGCCCCAGCCTCACTCTTGGCCTCCCATCCCCAGGACCTGGACTCACCCCTCAAGCCGCACTGAGGTGCTACCGGTTCCTCTGCAGGCCCCGCCCCGCCCCAGGCGGCCACGGGGGAGACCGGCCGGGCTCCCCAGGCCCTTTGCTTCTCCCTGGTCCTGTGCAGCATGCTTGCTCGTGACCGTCTGCAGAGAGGAGGACGAGGCCACCCCAGCCCACCCCTGCTTCCCCCGCGCTGGCTCAGGCCCCTCTGGGAGGCAGCCGAGGAGGGAGGCTGGGGGCAGCTGGCCGTGAGGGCTTGTCGCTGGTTGTCGGGTGCTCGGTGCCCTTGCTCAGATGAGGGTGCCAGCCTGGTGTTGGCGGCCATTCATAAAGGCCTGTGCATTGACTCCCCGACGTGAGCCAGTTCTCTGTCTCGGTGGGGCTGGGTACAGGGCCAGCCTCCTGGCACCCCAAAGATGGCAGGTTGGGAACAGCTTCTGCGGGGGGTTCCTTGGCACAGGGCTGCCTCTGAAGGCCTGCGTGGCGGGTTCTAGAGCCGCTCACGTGTCTGGGTGCGGGAGGGCTCTGAGAATCTTTTCGCGCTGCCCCCGCGCCCACCGTTACCCTGATCCAAGGAGACTCGCCAGGTGGGAAATGAGCTGGAACTTTTATGACGGGGAGAGTCAGAAGGGAGGGCAGAGGGGGACTAGAGAGGCGGGGAAAGGAAGGCCCCTGGCCCCACGCCTTTCTTCCTCCTGGGCCCCCACCCCCCACCCCCCGCTCCCGGGACCTCCGTCAGCCGGCAGGGCAGGCACTGGTTGGGGTGGAAGCCATGCGCCGGCCCCGGACCCTGCAGCCCACCGCCGCAGCCCCTCCCTACACGCGGCGCCAAGGAGCTGACTGCCGGGCCCCCGCGCGATCGCGGAGCCTGTCCCCGGGCAGGCAGCTGAGCTTCGTGGAGCCTCTGGAAGGAAGGCGCCCCTCGTTTCTCAGGAGGAGGTGTCCCTGGCCAGGAAGGAGCTGGCCGTGGCACAGGACTCCTCGTGGGGCCCCAGGCCGGGCGGGGCGCGCGTCCAGGCACAGCAGAGCAGGCTTCGCAGCTCGGAGGAGACGCTGCGGCTGAAGGAAGCGTAGATCCAGGGGTTGGTACAGCTGTTGAGGCTGGCCAGCAACATGAGCAGCACGAAGGGGGGCCCTGTGTGGTGCAGGGGTCTGGGCTGGGGATGAGGGTGCCCAGGGAAGGCCGCGACCCACGTGCCACCCAGCGGCTAGCAGTGCACATCAGCCTGTGTCCGCTCGGGAGCCCACGGCTGGGGAGGGGAGGGGCCAAGGTGTGTGTGCAGCCAAGCCTGAGCGGCCCCCACGGCTCGAGCCACGGCCACACACCTTCCCGAGGTGCCTCCGGGTCCCACGCTGCCCACAGCTGCACGAGGAAGAAGGGCGCCCAGCACAGCACGTACACTATCACGATCACCAGCGTCATCCTCACGGTCTTGGCCATGGCCGCCGACACCCGGGCTCCCTCGCTGGGACTGCCCGTCCGGCGCCCTCCGCGGCGCCCCCCGGCCCTCTCTGCAGGCCCCGGCACCAGGCTGGCGTGAATCTCCCGAAAGATGAGCACCTGGCAGGCGGCAATGCCCAGGGCAGGTGCCACGAACACCATCAGGGCGATCCAGGTGACGTAGGCGCGGAGGCCCCAGGGCTCGGCAAAGCGGGCCCAGCAGTCGAGGACACCGCTGCCGTCTCCCACGTCACGCTGGGCGAAGATGAAGAGCTGGGGCAGGCTGAGGAGAAGCGAGAAGGCCCAGGCCACCAGCACTGGCCGGTTCCAGCGAGCTCCGCCTCCATGGCGGTGTGCCAGCATGGGGCGGCAGATGGCGCGGTGGCGGTCCAGCGTCATGGCCAGGATCATGTAGGAGGAGGCATACATGCCCACCATCTGCAGGTACTTGACAGCCCGGCACAGGGCATCGGGCCCACGGAAGCGGTCGGTGGCGTCCCAGGCCAGCTGGGGCAGCACTTGGAACAGAGCCACGGCCAGGTCGGCCAGGCACAAGTGGCCGATGAAGACGTGCATGGGCGCCCAGCGGCCCCGCCGGCCCCGCCGCACTAGGGCACCCAGCACCAAGCCGTTGCTCAGGGCCACAGCCACGAAGACTGTGGAGAGCAGGGCCAGCTCCGCCTGGGCTAGCAGCGGGTCCCGGGCGTCCAGCGGCTCCTCCTCGCTGCCGTTGCCGGGCGGCGTAGGTTGGGAGAGGGGCCGGGGCACAGCTGGGCAGCGGTGGGGGGAGAGGCCCGAGTTAGGGAGTGTGCTCTGCAGGGGAACCGAGCCCAGGGAGCTTCCCGCTGGTCAGGCAGAGCTGGTGGCCTTCTGCTTCCCTCCAGCCTCCCACTTCCTGGATCCGCATGTGGTGGGGAGGGAAGGGCAGCCCCAGCCCAAGCGAATACATAGGGCCATGCGCTCCCATCCCCACACCAGCAGCCCGGAGAAGTGGGTGAAGGAGGTGTCTGAAAGGGGCTTCTTGGCTTCATCCAACCCCTCCCGGCCCACCTGGCTCATCCCAGTGGAGGAAAGGGTGGGGGGATGGGTAGGGACAGTGGCTGGGACCTTACCCGACGTGGTGGACGCCATGACCATGGTGGGGCGAGCAGGAGTCCTGAGCGCCTGGAGGAGACGGGGTGGCGAGCTCAGCCTCCCACCAGAGGGGCCAGCCCGGCTGCCCAGAGTCTCTGGATAGGGGTCCTTAGAGAGCTGCCGGGGTGGGGGGGGGGGGGTGTGTGCGTGCGCGGGGGGGCGTGTGTGGGGGGGGGGGGGGGGGGGGGGGGGGTGTGTGCGTGCGCGTGCGTGAGTGTGTTGTGTGTGTGTGTGTGTGTGCGTGTGTGTGCGCGCGCGCATGCGTGAGTGTGTGTGTTCCAGTGATCAGGCACTGGGGGTACATCCTTAGCCTAATCAGGGTTGGTGAGGTCTGGCCCCTGAGACAGACATCGACCTCGGAGCCCTGCTACACTCCTCCCAGGACTAGGCAGGGGAAGCTGGAGAGAGGGACAGTCAGACAGATGGACGAACCAAGCCTATGACCTACCTAGGCAGCCCACAAGAAGCGAGGCAGACAGATAGACCACCCCCTGCCCTGACAGAGGCCAAGAGAGGTGGCCATCGGAGGGCTGGGGACACGGTGGGAGGGCTGGTATGCCCCCGTTGTAGCCCCTTACCTGGCCGGGCTCCCGGGCTCCTGGGCAGCTGGGCGGCAGCGGGCGCAAAGGTGGCCCAGGAGCTCAGATCGGCGCTCCATCGCCTGCCCCGCCCCAACCAGGCCTCTGGGAGTGACCTGCTCAGGAGGGGACTTCCTCCCCTCCCCCATGAGCCTCCCGCCTCTGGCACGGGGAAGTAGGCTCCTGGCCTCCTCTGCTTCCCTTCCTGGCCGCAGCCATCCCAGGACTCCGTTCTCCCCGCCAAGGGGGAGCCGAGCCCTCCAGAGCTTGGCTTAGCTGTAGCCGGCTATCCGCTACCACCCGCGCCTGCCCCCACTTCCGCAGGGCCCCCTTTATTAACATGTGGGGCTGCGGAGCTCTGGGCGATGACTTAGTTCAGCGTGTCTATAAGTGGGGAAACTGCGACCGGAGGTGGGTGGGCCTGGCTCAGCATCACACAGCTTTCTCGTGGCGAAGCTTGACCCCCCCCCTTTCCCGAGCCAGGCTCCTTCTGCCCCTCTCCGGGCCTGGGCAAGGCTCTCCCGAGGTCCCCACTAGGCAGAAGGAGGGCTTCTCCCCAGCCTGCGAAGGCCCCACTCGCTCCTCAATTAGGCCGCAGGAGATGAGGGACGGGAAGAGGGGGGGCAGGGTCAAGCTGGGGCTGAAGGTGTCCCCGAGAGATCCAGCTTCCTCCCCAGACTGTGGGAGCCCGGGAAACCTCCACGCTTTTCCTCCTCCCACACCTGTCCTAGGAGAAGGGGGCTCAGAGCTTCTGCACTGACGCATATTCCAGCTCCCTCTCTCCCCTCCCCCCACATACGCCCAGCGCGCGCGCTCCTGTGCCCTCCCTCCCTCCTCTCCCCTCCAGCCCATCCTTTTCCCCATCCCAGGCCCTCCCCACCCCCACCCCAGCTCCTGCCACCGGCCCTGGCCTCCCTCAGCCCAGGCCGGCCCAGCCCAGCCCAAGGCAGTGGCCTGCATGCGGCCCAGAGCCCGGCTCCAGGCTGAGATTGGCCCTTTCTTCCTGTTTGTCCCTCCTCTCTGTTGACCTGCGAGGCTAGGGACCAAAGCAGCCTCTCACAGACCAGGGGCTCAAGTACAGCCAAGGCCAGGCGTCCTCTTCGCGGCCAGAGTCTGGCGGCACCAGTAGGGGTCATCAGGGTGGGGGCCCACCCAGCCCCCCTACACCCCACACCCACACAGCGCACACGCACACACACTGAACCACATGTGCTTCACGCCCAGCACTCACACGGCGCGCAGTACACACACACACACACACACACACACACACACACACGCTCCACACCACACCCCCACGGTACGTGTGCGTATTTGTAATGGTTTTTGCTAAAGCATTTGGAAGTCGGTTGTAGAATACCAACACCCCACATCTGAACACATCAGCCACACCTGTTAAGAACCAGAACGTCCTCACTGTCCCCCTGTAACCACACAACCATTACTAACCCAGGAGCATAGAAAGGGTAGAAGATGGAGTTCCCGGGCACTTCTTTCCTTGTGCCCCCCTTCCCCATGTGCCTCCCGGGGCCCGGTCCCCAAGACCCTCCCAGACTTGCCGGTGAGATGACACCTCCCTCGTCTGCCCTGGGGAACTGAGGCGCCTGCAGAGGAGCGCATGTCCCCACTTGGCCACTCCCCCGCTGTGGGACCTTGGACAGGCTGTGGCCAGCTCTCTGTGACTCAGCTTCCCCCTCTGTAAAATGGGAATCCAACAATTGAAAGTTGAGCCACGGCGATAGGATGGGCAGAGACTTAAGCCGGCAGGTGTGGAAGCGCCTTTTTTTGCTCACTGCATCTCGGGCAGCTCTGGAAGCAGTGCCAGCCTTCTGGGGTAAACGGGCCATCACCTCCTTATGGGGCTCTCTGCCCAGCCCCAAACGAGGTCATGCAGGCCTGTATCCCGGCAGAGAGCTGGCGCAGGGCTTGGGGACACCTCTGCGCACTGTGCTCCTTATTTCCCGCTGTCGAGTCCAGGGAAAAGACTGGGGGAAGGCCCTTCGCTGCGACTTTCTCTCGGCTCCAAGAAGGAACGGGAGGGCTTTGTGTCCACGCCAAGGCCTGGATGTAAAGGGAAACAAGTGCTGGGATCTCTGGGAGGAACGAAGAGCCCCTGAGGCCAGCCGGTGTGCCCGGAGAGTCTGGCTACCTGGCTGATAGCCCGACTCAGGAGCCCCTGGTGCACCTGCCGGCGCTGTGCCAGCTGAGAGGCTGGGCCGAGTCCCGCTGCGGGCGGCAAAGAGCTGGTCAGATGGAGACGCCCCAGGCCACCCCAGCCCCAGCCACCAAGGAGGACTTGGCCATGGAGCAGCCAGTTGGCCTCAGGTGGCCTCAGGCCCCAGGCAGAAGTGAACAGACACCCTCCCCCCCTCCCCCGGCACAGCCCCCTCTGCCCTGCCCAGTACCATCTCCCTGTAGGACTGCCTTTGCAGAAAGGTTCTGTGTGTGGCCAAGGAGTGGGCCCCGAGCTCCCCCAGCCCAGTGTCTGAGCAGAGGGGGTGGGGGCACTGACCATCCCAGGTGCCTGGCGCCAGGGCAGTGGGTCAGAACTGTGGGACCTGGATCTGTCTGTCTTGCTCTACCACTGGCTCTCAGGAACCAGGACCATTTGCTCAACAGGCGCAGCAGCCCTACCCCCCCCAGGGGTGTGTGTCTGGGGGGTGGAGGGGGAAGGCACAGGCCTTGGAGGGGACACTTGAAGGCTATTTCAGGGATGAAAGAGAAAGAGGAGCCAGCCAGGGACACGAAGAAAGAGTGACGAAAAAGCCAGGAGAAAACCAGGAGAGCAGAGGTTCCCGAGGTTGGGAGGGGAGACAGGTGCCCTACGGGAAGGAAGGACGCGAGCAAAGCTGCTGGAAGGCCGTGCCTGGTGTCAACCGGAAAAAATGCACACCTGAGGGACTTCCCCGGTGGTCCAGTGGTTAAGAATCCGCCTTCCAACGCAGGGGACACGGGTTCGAGCCCTGGTCCGGGAAGATCCCACATGCCGTGGAGCGACTAAGCCCGTGCACCACAACTACTGAGCCTGCGCTCTGGAGCCCGCGAGCCACAACTACTGAGCCCACGTGCCACAACTGCTGAGCTCGCATGCTCTGGAGCCTGCGTGCCACAACAAAGATCCCACGTGCCACAGCTAAGACCCAATGCAGCCAAATAAATAAATGAAATAAATATAAAAAAATAAAAAGAAAAAAATGCACACCCGAAAACTTGAGGATTATGTATTATTCGGTGGACTTCCTGAGGATGCCAGGCCGGGAGACAGCCTCTCAGAGAGCTCTGAGGGACAGCTCCGAGGAGGTAAGGGGGCAGCCAGGGTAGTGAGAATATCAAAAGATTACTGCCAGTTAAAGGAAACTGGGCATTTCAAGTGACTGAATCCAGCACTTTTCCAGGTATGGGAAGAGGCAAGAGTCTGAATATCATTGAGATCATTCCTTTGATCTGTGCCGCAGCCATCTGGGGCCAGCATCCTGTTTTCTCCGTCCTGAATCCCCTCAGCGTGCACAGTGTGGGGCTTACTGATGCGGCAGGCAACTTTCCTTGCACACAAGGATGGAGAGAGGTGCCCTAACTGGGCATCCCACCGGTGGGGTGAGCTTTGCAGACGGTGGCAGAGGGAGGACTGAGTGAGCTCACAGCGAGTGAAATGGAATGACAGGGGAGAGCAGGGCGAGGAGGCGAGGCCTAGGAGGTGAAAGAGCTCCAACGGGGCAAAGATACATTGAATCTAACCACGCGTGTGTGCCTGCGTGCGAGCGTGTACTGGGAGTCAAGTGGACCAAAGACGACAGAAAGACAGCGTGGTGACTCACCTGAGGTCTGAATTAAAGTGAACAGTAATTTTAAAAATGGGACAAGGCCTGTTTGCATGCTGGGGGAGGCACGAGAGTGGTACTCGATGGATTAGAGCTCTGCAGACTGTGACTTCTCTCCTTGTCCTGAATGACTTTTTAAAAAATTAATTAATTAATTTTTGGCTGCGTTGGGTCTTCATTGCTGCGCGCGGGCTTTCTCTAGTTGTGGCGAGCGGGGGCTACTCTTCGTTGCGGTGCGCGGGCTTCTCACTGCGGTGGCTTCTCTTGTTGTGGAGCATGGGCTCCAGGCGCGCGGGCTTCAGTACTTGTGGCTCGCGGGCTCTAGAGCGCAGGCTCAGTAGTTGTGGTGCACGGACTTCATTGCTCCACGGCCTGTGGGATCTTCCCGGACCAGGGCTCAAACCCGTGTCCCCTGCATCGGCAGGCGGATTCTTAACCACTGCACCACCAGGGAAGTCCCCTGACTTTCGTTTTTGTTTATTTATTTAGGCCACGCCTCAGTTTGCGGGATCTTAGTTCCCCAACCAGTGATGGAACCCGCGCCCGTGGCAGTGAAAGCGCCGAGTCCTAACCAGGACCACCAGGGAATTCCCCAGGAATGACTTTG